ACAAAACATAGTAGTCTCTAAATTCCAGCATTGTTTTCTTGCCTTACTCACGAGCCAAGTATAAGCATGCACTCTACTTTATGATACTTTTTGTTGTAATTGCAGTTGTACCTTACGTAATGCATATAGATTGTGAAGCCGATCGTGTTGAGACAAATACAAACCTTCGTAGCTGGCCTGATTTTTAGCGACTGGCACTGCGTCCCCACCATTCAATGAAACTACATTAGTAGAGMTGAGTAGTATGGAAAGAATGAGAATCAACTTGCGCCCACAAAGATGAAACATTTYATGGCATTTTAGGATATAATACTAAGGAGGAAATCAAACTGCGTATTTTTCATAGGTTAGAAATGTGGAAGACCCGGAAATGCAAATCTATATGAATAACATTAGACCCCAGTTACACACACTGAAGCAGCCCAAGGGATTGTCTTGTGTTCTTACTTTGTTATTGCAGTGAATGTATAGGTCGAAAAAGTTGTCAAATCGAAAGATCATCAAAATTGAAATACTTTAATCTTATTTTTCACGCTGATGGTTTTTAAGTTTTTGTTTAGCCTTTTTTTTTGTTTTTTAAATTTTCTCCCCACTCTACCCCCGATAGGGGATTCTGTCGCTCCTGGTGTGTCATGTGACAGTCTTGATGCGCATGTGTATARTAGTCATGCCGGTCCAAGATGGCCGTCACCAAACCACACAACAACAAGCTCTCTCACATTTAAGACTTTATAACCCCTAAAAATGGCTGATACAGGTCAACAAAACACCTCCAATACATCAGGACTAGACCTATTATCTGAAGCTTTGGGAGAAAGTGGTTTAAATCTTGAAGAACCGTTGGATTTATTCGATACTTCAGAGTCAACCACGCTGTCAAGTTACGATGGTTTTGACTACYTTAGTGTACTGAATGACTTGAATTCATTGACAAATACTACAACAGCACCACCTACACTCAATCAACCGGTTGCCCAGAGTGTGCCTTTAGAGTTGAACTTAGAGCAGACGGAAAATTTATTTTCAAGACCTCAACCAGTTTCCACACAACAAGGCTTGCAAGTTCAGAGTATTGCAGCTTCTGAACCTTCGAATGTTCAAGTTCCGGTCGTACCTGCTCAATCTACAAGGCTTTTACAACAAATTCTCTCTCAAAATGCATTAAATACGAGTGCTCAGAGACAGACTTTTGGTAATTCTTCAACTCGGATGATCGATTTGGCGAGTACTTCGAGTTCTGTTCGCAGTAATCAGATACAATGGGGAACCAGCTCTATGTTGTCTAAAACGAATCTAAATGAACAAGGAAAAAAAGAATTGACGAAAAGGTAAGTGTTTTTACAATTCCTTCTTGTTTGAAAAGAAAATAACATCCTGACTTTTTCTTAATTAAACAAAATCACGAACTTCTAGCTCTCGTTATGAACTGAATCTTAACAAGTACAAGAAACACGATTTTTTGTACAAATTTTGTCAAGCTTCTCTTACATTTTTTATTTCCGGTTTTTGAAAAAAAATGTGTTACGTGACAGAAAAAAACAAAAATACTTTATATCTATAGTTGTTAGGGTTTATAAATAACCTATTATCATGATTTTTGGAATAATTGTGAGTGACACGAAAAGGAAAGARAAATCGAAAGCAGAATTGAAAGTTGTACGACATGCAGTAAACCTCATGAATAAAATACAGACATAAATTACGACAACCTTAAATCTGATTTTATTTCTTTGGCAACGAATTTAAAAGTAAGAAAACTATGCAAAAAAGTAATAACTGATTGATTAGATATACAGAATCTAGTTCTTTATCTTGATTACATGATTACATAGCTGTCCAGATTTTTGCTTAGCAAGCATATTTGAAGCCACACTATTTCCCATGACACAATATTTCAAAACTTCCACTCGTAAACAAATCGCATTTTTCCAATTTTGAGTTCTAATTAGACTAATGATATTTYAGCTGCCAATTGAAAAGAATGAGATTTTAACTATATTTCTTTATTGTAGGGAWGTGTTAAGATTGTGGTCGAATGAGGATATTACCAGAAACAGCAAGCTGGAGGTATTATTCTTTATAATGTGTATATCCTCTTTAAATAAAGTCATTATTATTGTTATTATTATTATTATTATTATTATTATTATTATGTCATCGCGGCTTTTCAGGGGAGAGTTGGTGCCATTTAACAAACGATTTCTCATTAGCATCCATCGTTAATGGCACCAAAATGATTGTCACATTTTTGTTAGACTCTTCCACAGTCTCTCGCTCSTCCGTTCCGTCTCCACGCTTAGAGACTGTAAYGGTACAATGACYGAAAGGACTTATGGGYCCCAAAAACTTGGACCCAGCGTGCTTTGGGAACCAAAATACTCCTCCACGGTCTCTCTCGTTTTCGCCCCCATCTTGAAAATATTGAAACGAGAGAGACTGTGGARGARTATTTTGGTTCCCAAAGCAYGCTGGGTCCAAGTTTTTGGGACCCATGAGTCCTTTCGTCATTGTACCGCTACAGTCTCTAAGCGTGGAAACGGAACGGATGAGCGAGAGACTGTGGAAGAGTCTACATTTTTGTCTTTTGACTCGACTCTTTGGAATGCTTGCAACCCACCAATATGATTATATAATGACATATATTTTACAACCATCGCTCAATGTACGGAGCTCTTCCATGAGGTTCACTCCATTCACTACCACTACATTCTATGTTTACAATATACAACTCTCAACTCATATGTTGATTTTTATGTAGGGAGATAAACCACGGAACCTGGAGAAAAACCCTTGTGGCAACAACAGATTTATTCTCCAGCAATTGAGATAATGACAGCTGATTAATGCCTATAAATTCATTTTCTACATGTTATATTTAGGATCAAGTAGATTCTACTGAATCAGTAGATGCAGAAGACGAAGATGAAGAGGAAGATCTTGGGTATACTGACACTTATGCCGAGTATATGCCCAGTAAATGTAAGTAACGCATTGTAGAATGAATTTTGTCAACACCAAGATATTGGTATTTATGAGAAAATATATTCCATAATATGCATTTGGTTAGGACGTTCAGTTTCTTTATAATAAAATATCAAAAGTTCTGTATGTAAAGGTTATTGGGCTTCCTGTGGTTTTAAATCTACAGGAAGCCCAAATCAGGTAGTATCATAGACGTTTAGTATTACTAATGACTCTAAGTTATTTTTTGTAGTATCTTTTGGGAGGCGACATCCAGATCCTGTAGTAGAAACCAGGTGTGTATAGTTAGATTTTTTTWATATTTACATAGCTGTTTATAATAGACCTCTACCTTTAGCCTAACATTTTTCTATTTCAGACAACATCTCATTCTCTTTAGAATAAGATTCTTTGTTTTAGTTGTATCAATATTCATGTGTCTTCTCGTGTGCAAGCTTTAAACAAGATTATGATACTCAAGGGAATGAGATTGTCTGAAATGAGAAAACATTGCATACAAAGTAAAGAGGACAATTACTTGTTATTTACCTAACATATTGATTTTATTGTCTATGCATGTTTTAGTTCTTTAGCCAGTGTTTCTCCACCCAATGTCTGGTACAGATTGAAACTACCTCAAGAGGTGATAGACAAAGGGTTACTATCGGCACTACAGCTAGAAGCTGTCGTGTATGCATGCCAAAAACATGAAATTTTTCTGCCTAATGGTTCAAGAGCTGGATTTCTAGTAGGTAAGCACCATATTGTGTTGTTATTAACACCTTATTTTTATTGAACCCTTGTAACAATCTCTGGGCTGGTTTAAGTTACTACTCACATGTGATGGTGGGCCTAGGAATCAAACYTGAGACCCCAGAGGTGTRAGGCRAGTGTATTAGCCCTATACCACCCTTGATTCACTAGTCTAATATTGTGATGTTGGTGGGCCTAGGAATCAAACCTGAGACCCCAGACATGAGAGGCGAGTGTATTAGCYCTATACCACCCTTGATTCACAAGTCTAATATTGTGATGGTGGTGGGGCCAGGAATCAAACCTGAGACCCCAGACATGAGAGGCAAGTGTATTAGTCCTTCAAGGATATTGTTGGTACTTTTCTTCATAATACCTTGTTAATTTTATCTTTCCATATTACTCAGGTGATGGTGCAGGAGTAGGGAAAGGAAGGATTGTTGCAGGTAAATAAAGAAATCTAGGAATCATCTAGAAAAAGAATTGTTAATATTATAGTTAAAGTCCACACCTTCTCTTTGGTTTACTTTGTTTTTCATTCCCATCAGCTTTGTTTACTTTAATTTACTTTCCATTCAATTCCTTTCATGATTTTTTTCTTCCTTATTTGCTTCCTTTCTTTTTTCTTTGCTCTCAATTCCCTCAAACTGATTCCTCTTCTTCATTTCTCTTTCTCTTCCTCTTCCCTTCTTTTTTCTTAATTATTTCTTTTCCTTTTCTAATGGCAAATATATCTTTAAGYTATATCAAGATATTCTAATTGTATGATACTAAAGGATTCTTAGTGATATAAAAATATCTCTAATAATTGTATGATACATTTTTAGGGATTATTTATGAAAACTATCTTCTTGGAAGAAAAAGAGCAATATGGTATGTATGATAGATAACATCCATGTATTCTATATTAATGGCTGTAGCCTTGCATGARTGGTTCAGAGCATGATTAGTGGGTAACTGCAACCTTCTGCAAAGGCAAAGGCACACACTGAGCTAACAAGAAGGTTTCCATGGCAACTAAGTCAAGGGTCACCAYGGCAACTGTCACACTGAATTTCTTTGTGGACTATTTTTTGGTACTTGCCAATAGACCAAGTAAGAGAGGGTAGGATAAAGTGAGCAAAAAACTGCAACTAACTAGAGATCTAGCAAACCAAGCAAAGCCAGCAAACAGCAAAGTCCTCAATCAACTTTGAGGGTAAAGCAATCATGAACATAGTATGAAGATGTGATACATAAGCCTAACCAACCAACACTCTGTCCCTGTTAACTTTGATTATTTGATAATCACATCTTATTTATTGTTTTAGGTTGAGTGTGTCAAATGATTTAAAACATGATGCTCACAGGTAAGAGTGAGAGTCTTATTTTATCTATTTAATGGTACGTTGTTAGGAATGCAAGTTGTAAAAAAAAAAAAACATTTGTTATGTTTTGTTTTTTAACTGTTATTTTACATATTTTTTTAGGGACCTCAAGGATATTGGGTGCCACATCCATGTTAATTCTTTAAACAAAGTAAGATAAATTCAAGTTCTCCATACTCAATAAACCATATGTTTGTGGGTAAGCTGTTGAACCGGGAGACAATCCCCTACACAAAATAATTCAACAGGTTCTTTTATGTCTCCCATTTACTGTTGGTTAGGAAGGGTTGGGAGACAGGGCCTACGGTTTTAAGTCGTTATCCAAGAAGACTTGAAGGTCTAACCATTTGCTGGTGTAATTGCAAAGACAGCACCTTCTCCTCAGTTATCTTAAGACCCTGAGTGTTGGTCTGGCCAATGCTTGAACCTTGACCTTCTGCACAACAGACTGATGCTCTTACCAACTGAGATAACTGGGTGGCAGTTCATACTACTTGGATGTTGTTTTTTTTTCCAGTTTAAATATGATGTAAAGTTATCAGCCAAGTCCATGGGCGGCATCAAGAAAGGTGTCGTATTTGCAACATACTCATCTCTCATTGGTGAAAGTCAAAGTGTAGGAAAGTACAACACAAGACTAAAGCAGCTATTGCACTGGTGTGGATCAGACTATGATGGAGTTGTATCCTTTGTCATTCGTAGGCATGGTAAAAACAGTTGAATAGAATAATRTAGATACAAATGTGCCCTTCTTCAACCAGACCCTACCATCCCTTCAAAATTCCATTGCTCTTCCATGGGGAGACAGGGGCAGATCTAGGATTTTGACTTGCCCATTCACCCAAGAAACAATAATCAAATTCTATGTTATGATTAAAGCTTTCTTTTTCATTTTTAAAGGCATTCCTCGATACAAACTGTGAGCATATAGAAGATACAACATACCCCTTTCAGGATTTCTTGCCCTGGGAAGGGGAGTTCACAGACTAGCCTCTAAAGATCCTCTTGACTCCTTTGTCATTACAGGCCCCCTCTATTGGAAGGGGGAGTTATGGACTTTTTAGGGAACTACAGAACATTATGCTGGTTTGAACTTCTTAGCTATGACCAGTTTAAAAAGTTTATCTTACATTTTTGGAGAGTGAATCCTTAACAGATGGAAAGATTATTCTTGATGAGTGTCACAAGGCTAAAAATCTTGTTCCAACTGGTTCATCCAAGCCGACCAAGACTGGTCTGACAGTACTAGCACTACAGAACAGCCTACCCAAAGCAAGAGTCGTATATTGTAGTGCTACAGGTACGGAACACTAGCTGCTACACTATAACCTCTCTATGATAATCTGGTTTTAAGAAAGCTAGGTGTAATCTGTTTTTATTACCAATGGTAATAAATAAGTAAACAATTTTCACCTTATGGTAAGTGGTCGGTAACTCTGTTCATCAACCACTCACCATTACCTCGTCAACCACTTGTTAACCACTTATGGACCATATATGGATCACTCATTGACCAGTTATCGACCACTTATTGACCACTTATTGACCACTTATCGAGCACTTATCGAGCACT